CCCCAAAACCCCAAAACCCCAAAACCCCAAAACCCCTTTATAAATTATATTTATTGCAAATATTCATGTCAGCCCAATTAGAAATTGTAGCTCTTGAACCCATCAAGATGGAAGTCTTCTCCTAGTTTAAGCTCGATGTCTTGGCCGTCCAATTTAGTCTTGAATACTCCACCATTAGCTTCAGCGATCAGCTTCAAGTATTCAGCACCAAATGTTTCGAAAAGAAGTTCGAAACCTGCAACAAAAGCAGCATCAGGGTATTTGGCATTAACTCTATCCTTCTGGAAGGAGATGGATGGTTTACAGATGTAGATCTTTCCTGTCTCCTTTCCAAGCTTAAATTCAGTCGAGGCCACTTCTGGATAACAAGCTGGCTTGAGTTTTCCATCAATAAGTGGCTTCATAACTGTCTTCTTAAGTTCATCGATATGATGATTGAGAGCTTTCTCTAAGAATTCAGTTTCAGCTAAATAGAAGATTTCAATATCATCATCAAGCTTTAGGCCTGCCTCTTTTCTGAGCTTCTGGATTCTTCCAAGGAATTCTCTTGAGGTGTAAGACATTTCGATCTCTTCGGTTGAGGTCTTGTCGAGGAGGACACAGTATTCTCTATCGGTGTTTCCTGCAAACTTCTCATGCTTCTGATACTCTTCCCTCAACTGCTTCGTCGGAGTCAAGTCTCCCTCCACAATCTCGACACCTTCAACCACAATCTTGTAGGTGACCATGTACTCTTTGATCTGGTCGGAGGACAGACTTCCGAGTTTGCCGTAGAAGTTGTCGTTGAACTCTTTCTTGAAGGCTTTCTTGAACTTCTTGTGCTCTTTTTCTGGCACATCCTTAATTCTTTCGTTCATTTCAATCTCAAATTTGTCCTTTAGTCTAAACAAAATTTTAACAATAGAACAGAAAGAAAACTGGCAGTTTCCCATTTTGGTATTAGGCTTTAAACAATATTTTTGCAAAGATTTAGCCACCTCAGAATGCCAATATAGAGGTTGAGACTGTATATAAGATATTTTATGTATTAGATATCTTCTTTTTTATTGGAAAATCACCATAATGGTTAAAACAAATCTACTGGATGAATTATACAGTGATAAATTTTCAAAGATTTGTCAAAGTAATTTCTGGTATACTCACCTTGGACCAAGAGCTCTCTGGTTGTAGTCACAAGAATAGTTCACAAACTTGTTTTCGTCTGTCTCCACCAACAACTCATAAGCATTGATCTCCTCCTTGATGTAGTCTCCGAAGATCTCGATTGATTCAGCGAAGTCAGGGTTTGAGTTGACAAGCAGAGCAGTCTGGATGGGTTTCTTGATGGGGATGTTGATGTTGTCTCTGATGCTTCTAGTCATTTCGACGACTTTCTTCATGTGACTGACTTTGTGGACAATGGCGTCATCGAGAAGAGTCTCATCAGCCTCTGGGATTCTTAAGAAATGAATAGAGTCCTTCTTCAATTCATGTCCGTCTTCAAATCCATTTCTAAGATTCAAGTAGAGGAATTCAGAAATGAATGGAGTGAAGCATGACATCATGAGGGTAGTCGAGAAAAGAACATCAAACAAGGTATTTAATGACATTCTTGCTTCTTCAGATCCAGAAGCTCCCTTCATCCTCTGCCTGTTGAGTTTGATATACCACTTGTTCAAATCGACCAAGAAAGAAAGAAGTTGGTTGATGACAGTATAGAGTCTGTAGTTATCGAATTCTTCTCTGAAGAATTTGAGTAATCTTTGGTTTGCTGCAATAATCCATTTATCTAACAAATTAGTGGCTTCATGCCTCAGTTTTGAGTCAAAAACAAATTGTTCATTTGATTTTTCCTCAAATCTTTTAATATTTTCAATCAAGAATCTGTAGGCATTGAACCAGGGCAAGAAAACATCCTTGACAACATTCTTTACTCCAATTTCTGAAAATTTTAGAGATTCTGCCTTCACAATTGGAGAATTAAGGAGATAAAGTTTGACAGCATCAGCTGAGTAATTTTCAACCATGAACATTGGATCTGGATAGTTTTGAAGTCTCTTTGACATCTTGTTTCCATCTTCAGCAAGGACAATTCCATTTACGATCAAATTCTTATATGGCGTGCTTTCTTTTACTGCTGTAGCAATAACGTTGAGGGTGTAGAACCATCCTCTCGTCTGATCTAAACCTTCAGCAATGAAATCTCCTGGGAAGATCTTTGAGAATTCTTCTTCATTTGTTGAGAATGGATAATGCACACTAGAGAATGGCATACTTCCGCTTTCGAACCAACAATCGAAAACTTCTGGAATTCTTCTGAGAACTCCCTTTCCTTGCTTAGATGGGATAGTGATATGATCAATGAAATCTCTGTGGAGGTCAGTGATATCTTCATCAATACCAGAGAGCTCTTTTAATTCTTGAACAGATCCGACACAAATTACTTCTTCGCCATCATCAGATACCCACAATGGGATTGGATTTCCCCAAAGTCTATTTCTTGAAAAACACCAATCTCTAGCATCAGCAAGCCAGTTGTGGAATCTTCCATGTTGGATGCTATCTGGGACCCATCTGGTAGATTTGTTATTTTCGATCAGCTTATCCTTGAGGTCAGTGACCTTGATGAACCAAGAACTGACAGCTCTATAAATCAGTGGAGTCTCAGATCTCCATCAAAATGGATAACTATGCTCTACTTGTCCATCAAAGATCAACCTCTTTCTATCTCTAAGGTTTTTCTTAATGTGCTTATCTGCATCCTTGAAGTAGTATCCCTTGAAGTCAGTCACAGGTTCGATCAGATTTCCGTTGTCATCAACTGGACAAGGTGGTGCTGATGAATCAATAACCTTTCTTCTGCTACAGACGTTGAAATCTTCCTCTCCGAATCCAGGAGCACAGTGGACAATTCCAGTACCATCATCAGCAGTGACATAATCTTCAGCACAGACTCTGAAGCATCCTTGCTCTCTCATTTCATGATAGTAAGTGAAAAGAGGGACGTATTCGATTCCTTCGAACTCGCTTCCCTTCTTCTTTCCGAGCACTTTGTGCTTCTTAATTTTTGTTTGCTTGACAAACTCTTTCTTTCTAGACTCAGCAACAACGTAAGTCATTTTAGATTCTTCATCAAGAACAGACACATAATTCAGTTCAGGGTTCATACAAATGATTAAGTTACTTGGCAATGTCCATGGTGTGGTGGTCCATGCAACGAATGCAGTGTTCTCATCATCAACCATTGGGAAAGTAACATAGATGGAAGGATCCAAAGTATCCTTATAGTTAGATCCTGCTTCAAAGTTAGATAATACAGTTGCGCATTTTGTCGAGAAAGGCATGACACGAGAACTCTTGTAAACAAGTCCTTTCTCATAAATGTTCTTGAATAAATACCATACAGTCTCCATGAAAGTAAGGTCCATGGTCTTGTAGTCGTTATCAAAGTCGATCCATCTTCCAAAACGTTTGACAATATCTCTCCATTCATTAGAGTATCTCATGACAATACCTCTGCATTCATCATTGTAAGCTTTGAGTCCGATTCTCTTATAGTCAGCGCTGGACTCGACACCTAGCTTTTTGTCGATTTCATATTCAACTGGAAGTCCGTGACAGTCCCATCCAAATCTTCTATCTACATGTTTGCCATTCTGGGTAGCATATCTAGTGACTGTATCCTTAATAGCTCCTACAAGGATATGTCCATAATGGGGAAGTCCAGTTGCAAAAGGAGGCCCATCATAGAAGGTATACTTAGGTAGATCCTTAGTTAGTTCTAATTGTCTTTGGAAGGCATCAATCTGGTCCCAATATTCCATGACTTTCCTCTCCTCCTCAGGGAAACTGGGGGAGACAGGAACGTCTTCAAATCTTGATTGCATATTTAATTAATTATTCTTTCGGCCACTAAATTATTTAATAGTGTTTGAGCCAATGGATATGGGTGTTTCAAGTGATGTGGCTAAAAAGGGGTTTTGGGGTTTTGGGGTTTTGGGGTTTTGGGG